CAACGCACACCACAGACACACACACACAACGCACACCACACACACACAACGCACACCACACACACAACGCACACCACACACACACAACGCACACCACAGACACAACGCACACACACACACAACGCACACCACACACACCGCACACCACACACACACAACGCACACCACAGACACACACACAACGCACACCACACACACACAACGCACACCACACACACACACAACGCACACCACACACACACACAACGCACACCACACACACACACAACGCACACCACACATACACACAACGCACACCAGCCACCCTCAGTGCATGTGCACGAGGTCGCTCGCGCAATGAAGCAGCACGAACCAGTAACGACGATTACAAACGTGCAGCCCCGTGGGTGTCAATCCACTGCCGGATGAAGCTCCTCTCTCTCCACGTGGTGGCAGTTATGGGGGTGGTTTGACCATACTTCACCAATTTGTCAACACGGGTTGGTGGTGAAGGTGGTTATGGGGGGAGGGGGGGGTGGATACAGGACCCATTCAAGATATCACTCACCACCGCTGTTAGCCATCATTAGTAGTTCAACTCAATATGCACGTGTTGAAAAAAACAAACGTGAATCGTCGCGTTGAAGTAACACGCGGCGCGTTAAATTCCAGGGGAACTGCCCCTCTGCAACTCTGCATGGAACAAGGAGAGAGGACGGGGTAAAATATCGCCAGTGGGACGGGGGTAGGGGGGGGGGTCGAGTCTCTCCGACAGGAGCCAACGTGCATCGAGTGAGCTGGGGGGTGGGTGCGGGGGTGGGGCGAGGTTGCGGCCAGGGTTAAATGCTTCGGCCACTTCACCGGCGGCACGCCTCCACCACCGCCGTGGCTCACGTAACGCGAGTGAGTGACGTTAATTTGCATGCGCCAAGGCAGATACGATCACAATACTGACACGGCGTTAATTAACGAATGAGCCCGAGCCAGGCAGGGAAAAACAAGGACGCGGCGAAATGCTGTTGCGCTCTGCCGCGGATTCAGGGTTTGTTTTTTATTTCAAGAAGATGAATCCCATTCTCTCAATGACCCGTAATCCCGTTTCCCCAGGCCACGGGGCTTTGTCGCGATATTAATATCAAATATTCACAATGAGAAGTGTGCGGTTCTCAGACACTGCTGTTGGTGTTGTAGCCCATAAGTCAGGGTTTCCCAAGCTCCAGTCCCACCACCACGCAACGTACCAATTTACATCCCATTCGAGAACAAGTCCTTCCACACTGCACGCGCCCGATGATTGTTAACTACGTCCCACGTGACGCGCTAAGCAATTAACGCTGTCGTCGTCACGTGGGACACGTGCACGCGCACGCTGGGAGCTCAATCTTAATTTTAATCGTCTCTAATTACGCAGACAGCGTTAATTGCTTAGCGAATGCCACATTCCCCATGGTGAGTGTTTCATCTCTCCACAGGACAACTCACTGCTGATCTCCCACAAAGGGGTACTGATTGTATGATTTTAATGACCCTGGAGGGGGCTGTGGGCCGAACTGACTCCCGACCAGCATGAGAACTCGCTCCGTCCTGATAGCGAGTTGCACGATCTGCCCCAGCGCCACGCGGATGGAACGATTTGCGTTGAAAAATGTTCCCATCTTTAAATGGCTGGCCGACTGGCGTATTAAGCCATTTTCTGTTTCCATTTATATTTGTATTGCTGCCGTCCCTGACCCAGAGCCTCTATCGCCCAGATCTGTGATGTCATAATTTCTGTTGACACCTCCACGACAGCACGGAGATGCCGCGATTGCCAGCAGAGCCGTGGCCCCGCATCGCCGCAAGTGCCCGCTCAACTTTGTTAACATCTGCAACTGCTTTGTTGGCCCCTTGTGTATGTTAGAGTGGAGAAAAAAAAGTACAATGCTATCCCACTGATATCACGTATCACCGTTATTATGACGAACGTCCCTCATGATAGCATTACACAAAGACGAATGCTCTTTTGAAATTTCAGAGCGTAAGCCGTGCGTAAAATGCTTTACTTCGCGTTGAAATTAGTCTGTCTAAAACGCCTCAACGTCAAAGTAAAAACTCAACACAATCGTCCATAGCGCTGCCTTAAAAGTGAACGTCTATAGAAGGTGGCATTTCGGGCAATCGCCCTTTCCTCGCAGCACGTAGAGAGGCCGTAGAGGTCAACTTCGATGTTTCAGCACTGTAATTTAACACTTTGATACTTAATCAGAAAACATTGCGACTGAGCTACGGTTCATACACACCGCAGTGGTACGATAATCGCAGCCAATGCGTCAGAACGATTAAAACGAAATAGATTATTCAAACATTATTTGCAATTCTCTTCCGATTGCTATCCCGATGGTGCTATTGGCATCATGTCCATGAGATGAAGTATCCATTGCTATCTCTCACATACGGAGCAGTGCATCCCTTCTTGTTAGAGAAAGGCCCGTGGAAGTGGATGTCACGGAGCTACAAAGGAGAGCGCTTCGTGAGACCTCTGGTTTGCGCAACAGAGGTCAGCACTTACCCATCCACTCTGCCACACGAGTAACATTTGCTTTGACCGACGGCCAAACCAATATTTTACATTCTCAGGAGGTGGCATTTATCATCAGGTGGTGATGATTGCTTGTGTTGCAGTCGAAACGTCGTGAGAATTTTTATTGTTTTATATTTATATTATTTGATTATTTCCCTTCTACGTGACTTTACCGAAAGAACCAAGAGTATGAATCCCTGCAGTCACGAAAGCTTTAAATCAAAATTTAGGTGGCATTTAGTTTAATAATTCGTGCAGAACCAAATGTAGCATCATTGTTCTTTGTGTGTGTGCCATCAATGGTGACAGGGATGAGACCATCAACTCACAAACACTTCAGAACCCGCTTAAATCACGTGCGGCGTTGCCTGGATTCAAACCCCAGGATCTCAGCTTGCGATACCACCTCAGCGCTCTGATCTACAAAAATGGGTAGAAAAAAATTAACCCGTAAAAACAAAGTTTTTCACTATAAATCCTTTATATGCGTGGCGGCTAGAGTCCTCTCGTCCTCTGGCTTGAGATGGCTGCCACCTATGGGTCAGATGATTGCCTGCCACCATTAAGCAATTGGTAATTAAATATAAAAAAAAATCCTAAAAAGTGTAAAATTTTGGAAAAAAAATTTCACGAAAATAAATTGTCACGCACAACGAGTCTGTGTGCAAAATGTCAGCTCGATTGGATCACGGGAAGTTGGTTAAAAAACGACCGAAAGATTTGCACGGTCGTAAGCGCGCAAGCAAGCAAGTGAACTTAATATAAAGGATTTAAAAAAGAAAGGGATTGTAAGAAAAAAATCCACAAAGTAGAAATGATTTGGTTAGAGAGAAAGAGAGAGAGAGAACACCAGCGGGCCATGAAATATGCATGCGCAAGCACAATGATAAATAAGCATTTCGTGCCAGCACGACACTTCCACAGAACTGCAGCAGGCACTCACGCGACGCGTCAACAAACGCGGGCGCGCTCGTCTCTTCTGCGCTGACCCTGGCGGGGAATTGTTTTCAGAGGAGCGATCGCAACGTGCTTCTCATTATCGCGATGGAATCCGACACCCGCCGAGGTCCGCGAGAGATGGGTTCGTGACGCCGAGGGATGCGAATTTCTCGTACGAGACGGAATTCTGAATTTGCGTTTTGGCGACGTCTTGTTATAAAAAAGCCGTTTCAGATGATTTACTTTGCAAGAGCTTGCGATGTTTATTTATGCTCGATAAAGCTTGCTTTAAGTGCACTGTATATCACTGGAAATGTGGATTCTAAAAAACATTCTAGAGCCCTTTAAGACTAACAACGAACGACATGTCTTTCGGCAGGAGTGGCTTTCAGCCAGTACATTTTAAAAGGTGAATGTATTTATGTGCACGTAATCACTTGACTATGACACCTACTGTAATCGCAAGCACACACGACTCTCCATATCACGAGCAGACTGTTTAAGTGTAAAAAAAAAACACATTTAAAAGTTTCAATATTCTGCACAAGATCTCAAGAAATAAATTATGTTCAGCGCAACAATGCATTTCCTGTGAGCGGAGCACAAACTACACCCCCACAATGAAATCAGAACCACACAACAGCATTCTGGGCAGCGAGCGTCATGCGGCAGGCCTTCCGCCACACTGACCGTTAAAAAAAACACACACACAATCGCAATTGTTAGCAGACCGTAATAAGTTGCAGGCCTTGTGTTTTTGTAACAGTTTCGCAAATTGTATTTCACAGCCGCCTGCCAAGCCAACCACCCAACGGGCACTGGGGAAGCGCGGCGATTCGCCAGAATCAGAATCACAATATTTATTGAGACTGTAGGAATCCGATGAGTTGTAAATATCTTTTGCACAGATGTCCAGCAAGGGCGAGTTAGAGCGTTACTTCAACAAACAATAAACGCGATAGAAGTGTAAAGCATAGGAAAGGTAAGCGAATTGCGATATTTTTTTTTACAAATAAAATAAAACTTTTTTTATTTTACCAGATAAATCCCACTGAGCTATTAGCTTATTTTTTTTAGAAACGACCTGGCCACAAATGATAGCTCAACGAAGTGGTCTATCATGTGAAAATGTATCGCAGCCAAATACTCTGAACGCATGTTTAAAAATGTGGAGGGAAAAGCGATTCGCCGAACGAAAACCAGCGGACGTTCTCGGCGGAGTTGGCCCAAAGGAGGCTCTGGGGACAGCTTCGTCGCGGTGGCCTTCCCGTGGGCTGGCGCTGCTCCACATTCCCTTCGTCTGGACGACACCTGCGGACGGGACGACGCAGGGACACGCGGTCTCACGCTCCGGATCGCGTTGGGGCCCGAAGCGTCGGCGCGCAGCGTCGAGGGCGCTTCCTTTCTCACCGGATATTTGTTTTGTGTCATCGGTCGACTGGAGCAGAGGCACAGCCACGGCGAGAGGGTGTTACTGGATGTGGTGTGTCGGTTGCGGAAATATCTCCAGGGTTGACAAACCCGACAAGGCCCGGCTGCAATTGGCGAACACCTTCACGGAAGCTCCTGCATTGAGGCATAAGATCAGCTGCCGAGATTCAACACCCTTCTTCCCAAGGGAAATGCGACTCATCATTGTTATGGTGAGACGACTCATCTTTACCTTTTCACATATTAGTTGTCCTTATAATTGCCACTTCCCCATGCAGGTCTTAACACCGGAATCAAACTGAGGCCTCCTCGTGTGAACGGTGTCACAGGATCCTAAAAACTTTTGCAGCAGATGGAACACATTTGTAACTCTGCAAAAATCACCGCCGATTATGGGAATTACTTGCGAAAATAACTTTAATTTGATGATGATTAGCAACGTAACGTGCCTGGAGAGGACCGTTATCAATGGGTGCACGTTTACTCGCGATGGCATTTGAATCGTAATGACGATGGAACAAAAGCTAAAAATTCCACGAACGAATGATCATGGAGATGTGTATGCTGGGAATTACAATGAGATACGGAGGGAGGAATGCGTGGTCCGTGGGAATAAACATATACAGAAGAACCCCTCTTTAGGACCGCCCCTGTTAACGACGAATCGCTTAACGACGGGCCTCCATAGAGCCCAATGTGCTCGCTTGCCAACCATTCCCCATTTTAACGACAGTCTGTTGTAGGTACAATATATTTAAATTGATGCATTGATTAACCATGTCTCTTTTAATATTATGTGTTAAAACAAGGCGTAGCCATGGAGTCTACATTGGGGGGGACCAAATCTTCCAGGGGGTCTGGGGATCCCCCCCCCCCATAAAAAAATCTAAATCAAAATTGAAAAACTAATTTCCTGCCTAAAATATGAAAAAATTCACTAACATATGGGATAGACTTTTTATTTATTTTTAACAATAGTGTCTAATAGTGTATTGTATTACATTGCTCTGTTTTTTTTCTTTTTTTCCTTTTCTTGTTTCAATGTATGTAATGGCAGAGATTATGGATTAATAAAGTACGACCATAACCACAATCATATAAACAGAAATCTATTTTATGGGATGTGCCCCCCCCAATATCTATTATAATTACGGCCTTGGTTAAAAATGTTGTTAGTATCCATTGTTTAAATATGAAGTACGTTTTTTGGGTGAGAAGAGTAACTTTCGACGCTATCGGAATGAATTAAGCCGGTTTTCGTGGAACCAATCATCGTCGTTAAGAGGGGTTCTACTGTACTAGAAACCTCTGATTTAGAAAAACACGTGAGGGGGGGGGGGTTGCCAGCCAAAGGGGGGGGGGGTGGTGGGGGATCATGCACGAGAGGACAACCACCGTGGAAATTGAGCAATTATATATTTATTTATCATGATTCTTGCATCGCCCAGACTTTCAGGAGGGTTCCTGCCAAGTTAATTTTTTTCAGTAGGGGGCAATGTTTCATTCGTGTAATCCCAATGGATTCATTCGCAGGTATTTATTTCAGCACTGGGATGTCTTGGCCATTACCAGTTATGTCGTGCGTCTGTTTTCTAACCCGTTGGAGGACACTGGAAAATCCAAAGGAATCCCGTGCGGAACAAGGGGAGAACATAAGAACGCCACACAGAAAGGCGCCCAAGTCGGGATTTGAACCCAGGTCCTCCTTAGCTGTGCGGTACAAGTGCAGGGATAGTGCAGAGAGAGAGGCAGGGTGCGTGGTGGGGAGACAGCGCGAGTGCAGGGACAGCGCGTTGTCACGAGGGATCATTACAGAAGGGAACCATCGGGGAAGATCGGGATCGGCCGAGACGATTCCAGAAAGGGGGCGTGGCCGGGGGGCGGGGCGAGGCCACGCGGAGGGGGGGGGGTATATAAGGCGGTGGGCGAGGGGGCTCGGGGCTGTCGTGGGATCGGGGTCGACTGTCTCCACGCCTTCGCTGTCTTTGCGTCGTCGCTACTTGCGAGTTTTCCTAGCCCAAGTGTCTGTTTGTTATTCCTAGCCCGAGTATCTGTAGGACGCGAGACCCAAGTTATCCGCGCGACGTGCCTTAATAAATAAATAACGACGACTACAGAAGTTGTCCGGGAGTCATTACACAAGTGTTGCACAATTGCACCACTGCCGCCCAAAACGACGAGTTCACGTACAGGCGCAATTGATGGCGACGGCTTGGGAAGACCTCCATTCAGCAGTGGATAGACCATGGCTGATTAAGATGATGATGATGATGTCCAGGTGCGCTGTGCAGGCGCGTGTCTGCCGTGTTCATCACGCACGGAGGGTGTTTGTTCGCGGCGTGGTGGTCACACAACGGGAGAGGCGCGACTTGAAATTCTGCACAATTATAACCGGCAGGCTCGCCCAGCAACGGTACTCCTAGAGACCTGCAGAGACACTCTTTAGTCTGGCAGCGTTGCTCCAGAGGCCCGCAGAGTCGCTGTGCAATAGCCCTTGCAGGTGCAGACGCAGCTGTGGTTTTGAAGTCGATGATGCTATTCTGCGCTCTCATGGCCCAGGCCAGCAGACCGCAAGTGTCCAAGAACTCACAAACAAAAAGCTGGCTGCAGGTTTTTTTTTATTTGGGAGCAATGTCTTTGGGTTCAGTTTGGTTGTTCCACTGCACTGTTATGAAAGCATTAGAGGCACATATATACACAGAGATCCCCCGTATAGTCTCGTGGGGCAAGTGCTGTTAGCGAGCACCTATGAAGGCCGGAACGGTACACGAAGGGGTGGGTGACCAGCACCACGTCTACCACACACACATACACACACACACATACACACACATACACACATGCATACACACACACACATACACACATGCATACACACATACACACATGCATACACACACACACCGACTGGAGAAGTTTCCCATTGCATTTGTTGCCGACGCAGCACTTTCAATATTGGCTCCTATGCAAGAATGTTCCATTTAATTGTGGTGTGACACTCGGAGGGCCTAAACCAGTGCAAAAACTAAAATGTTGAACGTGTATCCCACCCTACCCCCCACCTAAAAAAAATCTGCTTAGAAGTCCGCACGTGCATTTATTAATGTCAGCACTGCTACAATATTGCCAAAGTTAAAGTCACGAAGAAAAATTATTGTTTTTTTATTTACACGAACCGAGCTGTACTTCACTGGTCCAACAAATACATTTCTGTCCGGATTGTAAAATAAAAATAAACAACAACAACAGCCAAAACACGGCCGTGTTGTAATAGTTCAGCGGATTGTGCAATCGCCATGAATTAAGAAAAGACACAAAGGGAGCGGGCTCCATCACAACGCTAAGCGCCGCGAACCCCACCACGCCCGCTCTGTCATCACGCAACTCAAACAGAGATCCTCGCCGTGCACACAAACAGCCGGTGGGATTTGGGGGGGGGGGCCTGGAACGTTTAAGTTCGGCAAGGCGCAGCCAGCGAGCGGACACGCGCTTGCCGGAGTCTGTTTTGTTGTGTTCCACCTTCTGAGCAGATCGGTGGGATTGGAAGGCGGTGGGGTTTTTGGTGGGGAACTAAAAAAAAAACCAGAGGCGGCGACCCCGTCCGCACTCCACCACCGGGGCGATCGTCTACGAGCCGCTCATCTGAAGCCGATTACGGGCGCGGCACCGTGGCGGGGGGGGAGGCCGATCGAGTTACCCGCACAGGGAAGGGGGCTCATTAGTGGGCGAGACCCGCCGCCTTTCAAATGCGCCCATCTCCTTCCTTCCCCGCGACGCGTACGGTCAATTTCAAAGCTTGTTTCGGGAGGTTGAGATTCGTCAACTCGCGGCGTGCCCCAAGATTGACTGCTTCGACCGAGACGCCGCGACGGACGCGTTTCTGTGTTAAAATTCCGAAAGAGTTTTTATTTTTTTTATGGGGGTGGGGGGGCGGTGTGCACAACAACAACAACAACAACGTTCTGTGTGACAATGAAAAGTCTGCGGCGTGAGAGCGAGCGAGCGAGAGGAGCGACGGGTGGCCGTGCGATCGTGCCCGGCCGTGGCAGTCGCCTTGGTTTTGCCGGGACGGAGCGTCGTGGCATCACCCAAGTATAGCCTGAACAGACTGTTGGGGCAAGTGCTGTTAACGAGTAGCACCCTATGAAGCCCGGCACTGTGACACACGAGGGAGGGAGGTGGGGGGCAATTCCACGCTTGGCCACCTTGGTCACCCCAGTGGTGATGTTTAACACACGGCGCTAGGCAATCAATTGAGGCCGAGTCGACCTAGGGGAGGCCCAGGACCGGTTGACATAATCGCCACTTGAGTTGGCCGTGAGCTGGAATCGAACTCGGGTCGCCCGGTTCGTAGCGCAGCTCCAAAACGAGCGGTGTGCCCTCGCACGCAAGCCGCAGAGCGCTCGGTGTTGGCGGGAGGGGGGGGGTAATGGTTTCTTTGGGAAAGTGAAAATCGAGCCTGATGGAAGTGAATATTACAACGGGGTGACGGTGGGGGGGGGGGGGAGACCAAAAATAACCACCATAATTCATCACGACAATAGTCCAGGCGCATGTCAAGGAAACGAGAGCTTTAACCGGATAATCTTTACTCTGCATGCGACGCAAAGGGACATGAAATGCCGATGCATTCAGTGCATACATCGGGCAGAATTTTTTTCGTGTACGTTACGGGCTGCAAATACTCTGGGCTGAGGACTCCCCGGATTTTTTTTGTTAACGCTCGCGTGGGCCCCGGCTTCATCCGCTGATGTTTCACTGGCGTGCGAGTCGAGCTAAAACCAGCCGATGAGGACGATCTTACATTATCATGCAAATTTTTACTGGGCGGCCCTTTGATTCGTGGGAAAACCTCACCACCATCGCGGTCGCTGCCCACCACTTACATTAACATTGGCTGCTGACATTTGGGCTACGCTCATTTCAAACCTTTATAAACAGTTTACCTTTAGAAGTTAACCCCCTTTTCCTGATGACGAACGCTTGTGTTGCGATCGAAACGTCGAATTTTTTTGGTTTTTTCTTTGAACATATCTCCGTGACTTTACCGAAATACCCAAAGAATCCGAATTTTTAATTTGCATAGTAAATTGTATTTTTTCATTTGCTATACAGCCAGATAATACGACAAATCGCTAACCTTAAACACCCAGTCGTTCATACAAGTTGAAGGCAGTATAGTACTATAGTAATAGAGCAAGTGCAGAATCAC